CGTCCCCAGTCCCGACGCTGCTGCCGGAGCCGCAGGCCACGTCTTCCACTGCCTTCCGATCATGAGAACTGGATCTGCTGAACACCAGAAATCTGGGAAGATGCAAGGGAGTGGGTACTTCAGAGGCTGCACGTTCAGAAACCAGCGGACAGCGGGAGGCGTCTCTTCTCCTCCCGGGTCACCCACCCCACCTCGACCCCGGGGAGCGACTTTAGTAATTTCTTATGACTCTTTCTAGAAAACTATGCAAATAAGCACGTTTATTTACTTAATCATTGAGGGAATACTATGTATAATCATATGTGTATTTTGAGAAAATAATTTTTAATAGCCTTTCTCAGGTCTCTAATAGTAGTATGTAGTGTTAAAATTACTGATTAAAAAAACCAACAGATATAATCAAATTTTAAGACAGTTTACGGAGGAGGCGCTGTACCTGTTGATAGGACGTTGTGTAAACCATAACATTTTGTTGTTGACCGTCTGCGGTTATTAAGCCAGCCGGTAACTGGTTAGCTAGAAGTAAACAAAAAAAGTTGAAGAAAACAATCACATCTGCCTTCTCAGGCTGACCCTTCAATTGTGCCTTTATTGTCCCACTACAATTCTGCCACTTATCATACGATGTCATCCTACATAAAACCATATGCTGTCAAATTTCCCATTTAAAAAGAGTTCTCTAAAAAGTACATTTTCCTACTGTCTTTTTTCTGTTCTAGGATGAGGCAGTGGTGTGCTCAGTGGGCCCTGCCTGCCCTCCGGCTCAGGCTGGGACGCGTAGACCTGGGCCACACCGTGGCTGGGGGGCTGTGCATGGGCGTGGCTCGCGAGTCCCCATGGAGGGACTGTGAGTTACACAGGACAGACACGCTCACTGTGACCTATCCCATCCCTGAAAGGGCAGTACTGTCCTTCAGCTCAAATTTACTTGAATCACAGGATTTTATACTATTCGCTGCAATTCCCAACACGCCCATCTTGAGCGACTCTTCACAACTAGCAGCTAAGAAACCAGCGCACTGGGCGAGAGGCCCATGGGAGCCGAAGTCGTCCACCACCCGCGGACAGGCAGAAGCGGACGGCAGCCCTGGCTCAGCCCCAGGCACTCGCAGCGCTGAAGACACCCAGAAGCCCACTCGAGACGCTGTGTAGGCGTCACTTGCACAGGGACACGGCCGGCGCTGCTTACTGAAGGCCTCCTCCGTGAGCTCCTCACTGAGCCCGTCTGCCGCCGTCACGGCACCGCCGATGCCTTTCTCTCCCTTCATGGCCTGCGGAGCAGAACACACGGGAAGGTGAGGACGCCCAGCACACCCTGCACTGGGGACCATGCCACATGCCCAGGACGAGGAAGAGTTGGTGCCTGCCCACGGCCAGGGAGGAGGACCACCTGGGAAGCCCCCATAAGCTCACTCCACACTACACCAAGGGAAAACACCTGAACAGGAGGCTCACACATCCAAAGCTGACCCCACATGTGTATCTCAGCCAACTGAAGTACTGGGAAATGACAAGTGACAATTTATAATTCCTAAATAAAAATGACAGTTCAAAGTTCCATCTATTCCAAACTTCTACAATACCGAAAATTTGGAAAGTACCAGGCAGGTATCACTAACGCAACAGGATGTCCACACTGAGCTACAAGCACAGCGGAGAGCACTGTGACCAGCACCCGGCAGCAGTGCGGAGGTGAACCAGCCAGGAGCTCAGTTTGCTGTCACAAACCTTACCCTCACAGGCACAGAGCCACACAAATAGGAAGTGGAGAATTCGATTGGTAAGAAAGAAATAATTTTCTCTTCAGTATCTAAAAAGCCTCAGGCTTGGTGATGCTTCTCTTTTTTTGAGACATCATCTTACTATGTAGCCTGGGCTGGCCTCGAACTCACTTGGATCCTCCTGCCTCAGCCTCCAGGCTCCCAAGTGCTGGGGTTATAGGCATGTGCCACCATGCCTGGTGATGCTACCTCTTTTAACAACAGCAAGCTGAGAGGTGGTGGCAGCCCTGTAATCCCAGCACTTGACAGTCTGAGGCCAGTCTGGACTACACAGTGAGTTCAAGGCCAGCCTGTACTACATAGCGAAACCCCATCTCAAACAAAACTAAACACCAGATAGCAAGAAATAACACCAACCACTGGTCATTATTTACTTAGTTCTCTTAGTAACTCCAGGATGAAGGTCCCAGAGGTTCTTCTGTCCTCACTGCAGAGGAGCCTCGCCCAAGGTGCACAAGTCAATCTGCCCAGGGTCCAGGGCTTCATGGGGAGCAGAGCTGGGTCACAGCCTTGGATACTACCCACCCCAAGCCCCCATCACTGTATGGAACCAGGCTGCAGTCAGCATAAAAGAAAGAACAAGACACTTGCCATTTAAGGACTATAATTTAAGTGACAAATACTTCTTACAAACATTACACAAGCTGCTGCAAAATCAATGCAAACGGCGCACGTGCCCAAGTCACGTCACAGCCAGGCCGCTCACCTCCCGAAACTTCTGAAGGTACAGCTTCAGGGGCTCCACGTAGCTGTCGAAGCCCAGGGTGGACATGGCGAACAGGATATCCTCCCCATTGATGGTCTTCCGCTTCTCCTGGTGGCACCGCTCGCTGGCCTCCGATGTTATGAAGCTGATGAACTCGCTCACACATTCCTGAACACACTCTTTGGCATCCTTTGCAATCTGAACAGGGGAAAATCACAAGTAAATGTGCAGGAAATGTAACCGTCACGTTCCTAACAGCTGCAAGAGACAGAAGGCTGCGCAGAAGCCAGCTTCCAGCTTCTGACTTCCAGAGGTGACTTTTCCTTTTTTTGTCTTTTTGAACCGGGAACCTGCTCTGCAGTTCGGCATGGCCCCGAGCTCACTTTGTAGTCCAGGCTGGTTTCGAACGCTCAACGATCCTCCTGCCTCAGCCTCCCAAGTGCTGGGACTACAGGCATTACTGATGTGCACCACCACAACCAGCCAGTTTCTTTAAAAAAAAAACTGTGTTTGTTCTGAAGTGCTGGGGATCAAACCCAGGGTCTCCCTCTGCTAGGCAAGGTCTCTGGTACTCAGAGAGTACCACCTGAGGGCTGAAACTGGACAGCACATGCTGGTCCTCTTATGCAGCATAGAGCCAAGAGATACAGTTTGTGTGTGTGTCTTTTTGAGACAGGCATTCACTACGCAGCGCAGGCTGGCCTTGAACTCACTACGCAGCCAAGGCTGGCCTTGAACTCACTTTGTAGCCCAGGCTGGCCTTGAACTCACTTTGTAGCCCAGGCTGGCCTTGAACTCAACTTTGTAGCCCAGGCTGGCCTTGAACTCTCTTTGTAGCCCAGGCTGGCCTTGAACTCTCTTTGTAGCCCAGGCTGGCCTTGAACTCACAGTAACGCTCCTGCCTCAGCATCCCAAGTGCTGGGATGACAGCTGTGTGCCACGATGCCTGGCTAAAATACAACTTAGATATCAAAAAAGGGGTGGATGTTCCTACCACCTATAGAAGGCTGAGTACCCCAGAAAAATCAATCCCATTACGACTACACTAAGTGCACTGTGGGCTACAGACCCAGGACCACTTCCCTGCCTTAGCGTTTCCACTAATGAAAATGCTGCAAAATAAAAGCTAAAGACCCCAAGTCATGCAAGACTTGGAGATAATAACGTATGATGGTGACATCTCTCCCACTGGGGACACACAGCGCAGGTGTAGATTCAGAGCATCCAAGGCTGCCGTGTCCTAGAATATGGCTCTTCACCTGGGCTGTGGGCTTCAAGTGGAGCCCACACTCAGCCACCAAACAGGGCTGGCACCCTGCACCTGCTACTATCGCTGTCCCTGACCCCCTGCCTGTTCCCCACATGGGGCAGAGGGATCAGGGCCGCAGAGCCTCAGCATGGCCTGTCAGTGTCACAAGCCCAGAGTAAAATTTCAGGGTTCTTAGTCATCATGTTGAAGAAAATAAAAGTGAAACTAATTTTAACATTTAACCAAACATATCCAAATTTTCATCTAAGCAGGGAATCAACTTTATTTTTATTATTATTATTATTATTTGGCAGCCCCGGGGATTGAACTCAGGACCTTGCACTTGCAGGCAGGCACTTATTCTACTGAGCTATCTCCCTGGCCCCTGGAATCAACTTTAAAAATGAGCCATTCATCTCTTCTGTACACGAAGCCTCTGAAATCTGGTTTTTGGGCACTGGGCGCTGAGCCGGCTCCCTGCTGCCCCTACAGGCTGGGTCTGCAGCACTAGCCACACCGTTTCTCTCCTAGAGCACGTTTCTCTCCTAGACCTTCCCTAGCTGGACCTCTTTGGCTCAGTGATTTTTTTTTTTTTTTTTTTTTTTTTTT